TGGGGAAAAGTCAATAACTCAAACTCCAAAGTGTACTCCAAAGTGCTTTATCATTTTCTTCTTTGGGGGGCATTCTGGCAGTGTGGAGCTTGCCCAAGGCTTCACAGGCTGTTTCTTCACCCATAAGGCACCATATGGGAGGGCGGAGGAATCAAACTCCCAACCTCTGGCTCCATAGACAGGTACCCAGCTCATTAAATTATCCAACCTTCCATTGATATATTACTCTTATAGAAATAGCAAATGCAAACTCTGGGATATATGGAGCATGACAGCCAGCAAAGTTCTCTGACATATTCTTATTTCTGAAGGATGGGTATCTAAGCAATTTTTGAGCAATTTGAAATTAAAAGTTCTCACCTCGGATAGTTCCAAATGGCAGTTCTGTCTACAAAGTAATACATCAGTGGCTGTTTGGCACACATTATGAGACAATGCTGTCATGAACTGTTTTGCTCAAACTGAACTTGCAGTTTTCTTGGCAGCGGATTTAGGACTAGGAGACAAGAAGAGTAAACCAATATTTTTGATTCACCAGTAGTTGCTCCTTTTGTAACAGCTGGTGTTGTTTTCATAGCTTCTTTCCTATGTATTAAATCTGAAAGACCACATGGGGCTCCTTGATCCTGACCCTGGGTAAATGGTGAAAGTCTTTAGGCGCTGTTGCTGAAACTAGAGAGATTTCTGAAGTGAGCAAGAACTCTAAATGTCTCCCTCAGGCTCTTGTCAGTTTGGGACTGCCTTCTTTCTTTATACAGCATTCGGCTCCCTTGTACACTAGCAAAAATTGGACTCCTGGTTCTGAGCTGCCGTATTCTCTGACTGGCTACCCTGCTTACGGTAAGTGTAATTCTGGGGTCTAAAGTCTAGAACTCAATCAAACAACTCATTCAAAAACAGACATCTTAGAAACTACTTTAAAATACAGCTACCACCAATTCTGTGGAATTTCATGTGTTTATTTAATTTACTGTGTATGGTATTGTGGCATTCAGCTCTGCTCTCACCTGTCCGTCACAGCTGGGCAGGGGAACCTCAGCCAATGAGAGGACGGAGGGTGGTGCAGAAGTGGGAGGAGCTGGGTTATATAAGGTGTGTGTGCGGAGTTTTGAGAGATCAGTTTGAGAGATGACTGATTAGAGTGATTGATAGAATGAGAAAGTGCCTGTCAGTGAGGGAAAAGTCTGTGTGAGCTAGTGTCTGAGAAACAGTGATTGTCAACTTAATTTTATAACAGTGATTTACTACTTTTATTTTGTGTAATCAATGAACCTTTTATTTGTTCGAAAGAAACACTTGTCCTTTTGATTTAAAGGATAGGTTGGTGGCAGCAGTTTTTAGTGAGGGGTAGTGAGCGCTCTTATAGGCCTGGATTGGTAGAGGCTTGAGAGTTGCCTGCTACAGGTATTGTGGGTTTTTTTCTTACATAAGTAAACTGGACTAAATGATTGTTGTTTGTTGTTGTTTAGTCGTTAAGTCATGTCTGCCTCTTTGTGACCCCATGGACCAGAACACGCCAGGCCCTCCTGTCTTCCACTGCCTACAGGAGTTCGGCCAAATTCATGTTGGTCGCGTCGATGACACTGTCCAGCCATCCCATCCTCTGTAGTCCCCTTCTCCCCTTGCCTTCACACTTTCTCAACATCAGGGGCTTTTCCAGGGAGTCTTCTCTTCTCATGAGATGGCCAAAATATTGGAGCCTCAGCTTCAGGATGGGTCCTGCCAGTGAGCATTCAGGGTTGATTTCTTTCAGAATGGATAGGTTTGTTCTCTTTGCAGTCCAGGGGACGCTCAAGAGTCTCCTCCAGCACCACAGTTCAAAAGCATCAATTCTTCAGCGGTCAGCCTTCTTTATGGTCCAGCTCTCACTTCCATACATCACTACAAAACCATAGCTTTGACTATGCGGACCTTTGTCAGCAAGGTGATGTCTCTGCTTTTTAAGATGCTGTCTAGGTTTAACCTTGCATAGAAACCTTGTAATTAAACAGAATAGTAGAAGAGATAACTACTGGAGTACCTTCAATTCCATTAAAATGTTTGAAGGAGTAAAAAGACACTGCACTTGAATAACATGGATGTGATGTGAGTAGCTCATTCCAAAATTACAATGTCACAGAAAATGCTCTGTTCCAAATCCTTCAAGCGCTCATGCCATGTCAAGGCCAAACCCAGAACAACAGCTGTTCAGATGATTTGAGAGAACATATGGGAAAAGTTCCCACAACCATTGTAGGTACCTTTTATATATCATAACCAACATCTTGATGTGGTTCAGGTAGAACCACAGAATTAGAGACCGGAAAGGGACCCCATATCTAACCCCTTGTCAATGTAGGACTTGAGTATGTGAACAGCTACTGATGTCAGCCAGGAGCACAAGAAGCTGTGTTACATCAATTCAGACAATTGGTCCATCCAGCTCAGTATTGTTTGTACTGAATAGCAGCAACTTTCCAGAGATTGATAGGAATCTTTCCCACATCTATCTCTGAAGATGTCAAGGAATGAATCTGGGCCCTTTTCAGAGAAAAGAAAAATTACTTTAAAATATATATATAGATCCTCAAAATCTTCCTTTCATGGTCCTGTTGCTGGCTGCAGCCTTCTTGAACTTACAAAAGCAATATTTGGAAGCTATGGTACTTCTGTATCCCTGCCACAGAGATACAGCTCAGATGTAGGTGTAATAGTTACTGATAGACTAACTGATTTGTAACCCTCACTCTTTCCAAATGGTTGCCAACCTTGGTTCCCCTGATGTTCTTGACTAAAACTCCCAGAAGCCTTTGCCATTAGCTGTGATGGCCAGGGTTTGGTGGAGCTGCAAGCCTCTGGGGACCCAAGGTTGGGAACCACTGCTCTATAAAGCTCTCATAGAACCTCATTCCATTCATTCTCTTAATCAGGAGGTTGCTTCATTCCACATTAGCTGAAACTTTCTGACTGACAAAGCTTAGTATAAGCACTGGGCATCTGGACTTCTGTCTTTTCCTGCTGAGCAAAGAGAAACCTCCAGTTTATTGCACTTTGGTTTTAGCTCTTTTCTTATGAGAAATCACAGCTGAGCACCATGCAAAGCTTATAAACCATTTTACACTTGGTTTATATCACTGCAGACCATAATTCCAAACTTAATGGACTTACATTTGAATGGCATGCTGTAATGCTTTTTTTCCTGAGAGGCATCAGGACAATGAATCTTTTCCCCCCATACCAGGAGCAATTCTCCACTTCTGTACCACAGTGCAAATCATTTCCCAGTTCTCAACGTTTCAACGGCAGCATGAAGAGAACGTAGATAAAGAACCAGCAGGACAGCATGAGTTTACTTCCAAAGGAATCCAATCCTTCTTAAGTGCCATGGGTATTTAGCTACAACTAATAAGTCGAATAAGGGAAATGACGTACATTATTGTCCATCCTGCGAAATCATCTCAATCTCTCTTAAACAGGCTTAAATTTCCTATTGCAATGAACGTGCCCATATGAAATTATAGTTTAACATGTGATTTGCATTCACATTGTCTATGCAAGGCTTGCTTTTGGGAAATCATAAGCAGTCCAAACTCTATTTACAAGGAAGTTCTTCCTTAGTACGACATCAGTAAAAAAAGCATCATTGCAATCCCTTAGTCAATGACATTCTACATTAAAAATCAAAGGTGTGGGAGCATACACACCTGCCGAGACAAATATACATACAGAAAAATGAAAGCTCATTATGGTGGGGCGGGGGGAGAAAACAGAACTTATAGGACTACAAATGAAAACAAGGAAGTACAGAAGAACATGAACATTGCCCTGAGAGATTATATATACACACACATGCATAATCTATCTTGTCTCGAAGATCATCTAATCAACCCAGTGAATTTGGGGAGTTCACAAGACACATATTTCAAAAGCTGAATAGCCGTTATTCTTTTGCTGGTTCATAGGTGCTCATATTTGAATGGCAACATATATCCATTGCTATTTGTCTTGAGTGAGTGGCATTCAGAAATAAACTTTTGCCTAAGAGTTGGGAAAACGAGGCCTTCCTTCTGCCGTTGGAGCATCAGCCTGAGTGAGCATAGCCAGCAGTGAGTGATGCTGCAGCCTGGAAATACCTAGAAGGCCACACATTCTCTAGCCCTGCTAGAGCACAGACAAGGCTATCATTCATGAAAATGTATAATGCATTAAAAAAAGTCGTATCAGGTAGTGGTCAGTCACAACGTCTGGTTGCAATGGCTTGCAAAAATGAAATTATGAGCTGTGTACAAGAGTTATTTTTATTAAGTCTTTAACCATCTGCCAGTAAGGAATGCTATCACAGGGCTGTGTAATTCTGCCCATGGTCCTTTTCTACTTTTGTGACAATTACCCTGGGTGATTATATCTCCAGTTAAGAGCCATGCTGGCATCAGCATTAGCCAAACTACAAAATAACCAGAGTTTCTGGTGCAGCTTCAAACCAAAGTTAAAAATCACGAAGGAACCCCCTTTAGTGTTAACTTCCAAAATGAGTGTTTAAGTGGGGTTTAGACTGAAAATGAAAGGGAAAAAATCACACTAGTAGGATCATAAAGTCCTTCCAAGCAGACATGATCTCATGGTCGACTCTAAGTAACAGAGGGATAATATTATACCTATGCAAACCAGTTAAGCCTCTCTCTCTTTCTCTTTCTCCTCCTCTCTTTCTCTTGCACATGCATGCATGTTAGGTGTTATAACATCCGTTTTGATTCAAATCATTCTAGTCATTCCCAGCATAGAATTTTCTCTCATCACTACTGCAGAACTCTGAACTCTTTGGTAAGTTTCTAAAAATGGCATATTTTCCAAAACAGATACATGCTATTCACTCTTAAAAGAGACATTCTCCAAATTTCATATGATGTGGAGGTATAAAATATAAGAAACAAAATGAAACAGGCTATCCGGCAATGTAGAAGAACATTAAGAAAAACATGCCATCAAAACCCCAGTTTCAATGGCAAAATAAAAAGTCTTACCTTTGCATTTCTCTTTCTGGCTTCCCTTCTGGCTGCCTTTTCTTTCAATCTTTTCTCCTGTAAGTGACAAATTAAATATATGAATCTAAACTTTTTACCAAAAAACAAAAAACAAAACCCAGTTTCTAGTATCTGCTTGCCTCTTACCACTATTACACTTTCAAGTGTAAAATAATGGATACAACATGTCTAAAAGGAGTCCCAAATCAACCTTAATTTTAACAAGGCTTATTTAAAACTGACATTACGCGACAGCCAGCATCTGGCTTGACAGACAAAGTAATGGTGGAGCCCAGACTCGTTGGGTATGAAGCTGGTCAGTGACAAGCTGAAATAAAGTTCATATCTTACCTGTAATGGACATGGCTATCATTTACTACATTTCAATGGAATAAAATGAGAAACTGCCTCTTACTTAAGGGGAGGGGAGCAGTGGGGGAATGAGGGAAAAGAAGAGGAAGGGTCACACGTGTGGTTCATTTTGTATTGCTAAATCTTCTGTTGCAGAAGCTTTTGGGTTGTAGGGAAGTGAGGAGAGAAAAAAGAAACGGGGGGAGAGAAAGCACAGACATGGAAATGCACACACACTTCCTCTCTCATGATCTTGCTTTCCTACCCCAAGGCTGCTTCAGACTTCCAGCACCACCCTCACAGTCTCTTCTAAAACAGCCACATTTCTCCTGCCTGTTCTCTCATTCAACCATTTCTTCTAAACCTCTTTTGGGCAAGCACTGCAGGGCAGGGCCCAAAACAGGACAGCGAGAGACGAAGAAGCAACATGAGATACAGATGTGAAGAGCTGTGAGACTATGTTCAGAAGAAAAGGAAAGAGAAGGAGAGAGAGAACATTCAAGTGACAGTATCTGAGGGCAGAAGAGAGAAAGCGTGTGTGAGAAAGACACAGGGAGACAGCTTAGGATCTGTGACTTAGGCAGTGGACTGGACTGGACTGCTAATGCAGATGCAGGCAAGTTGATCTGGCTCAAATAAGAGGCCAGAAAGTCAGTGCCAACTGAAGCACCTTTCAGCCACCAGTACTGGAAAGTCAAAGTATGAAAACTAGGGGTGCCCGGACAAGAGTGACTTGACTGGTGATTTGGTTTTACAGGTCTTTGACCGTAATAAAGTATACTACTACTACCACTACTACTATTACTACCACCACCACCACCACCACCACCACTACTACTACTACAACCACCACCACCACTACTACTACTACAACATATAGTGCATTTATGGCCACTTCAGAACCTCAAATGTGACTTGTTCAATCACCAAGCATTGTATTTAAGTCTCTTGCTCCATAAGCTGACACTCAATTTCCTACCTCCTTCAATCTTATTTCTAAACTATTCTGTTTTGACCCACTTTGGAGTAGCCTATTCTCCTGTGTCACCTGCCCATTTCTCTATAATACTACCTGCTCTCTTTCAAGCATTCCCTATGAAGAAGGAGGAGGAGGCAGCTAAACTACACTAACCATGGGAGGAAAGGATGCAGGGGGGAAGTAAAGCGACCCAGACAGCTGATAGATCAGAACAAGCCCCCCCCAAAAAAAAAGATTTGAAAGAGGACATGAAAAATTCACAAGGAGTTTCTTTTGAGCACAGGACAATTTTGTTCTCCCCAAACTATTTTGGCAACACACATTAGTCTTCCCCATCATGTCAATCAAGTATAATTGAACCACACGGAAAAAGACAAGGTGCAAATTGCCAGGCACTGTTGATGTGCAAGATCCATTCATTTCACAGGGACCGGCATGGGAATCCAAGGAAAAGCCCCATGGAATTGAATGAAGGCTGAAGAACAGAAGCCCCTGGTCGATTTTATACTTGCCAGAGAAGAGAAAGGCAAAGGAAATGCATTGGGGGTGTGTGGGGGTGTGAGTTGGATGCAGTCACAGTTCATGACAAATTAGCTTGGAAGTAAACAGTGACAAGGAACACAATTACCTATAATTAATTACATTTAAGTAGCCACTATGATGAACATATAAAGTTGCCTTTTTGTGTAACAAACAACTTTATCTGGATACCTTCAAATATTAGTTTTTATGGATCCCTCCACGCTTTATGTAATTGTCTTATCAATTCTGAGTGGCAAGAAAAGTGTAATTTTATTTTGCCTGTGTTTTTAAAAGTACTTTGAAGGCAAAATATCTGAATTGGCCATTACAAGGAACCAGGGAATATTTCCATACATTGCTTTTATGTGTTGGTAATGGCAGCACAGCAGATTGGTAACACACAAAGCAACAAACGGTTTGGTGAATGAATGGAGTAATGATACCAGCTAGATACTACAAAGAGCTGCGTCCCTTTTTAAATAAATAATATTCTATGCTCTGCTCATGGGCCAGTGGTGGTAAAATATATAGAATCTGGGATATGAGTTAAAGAGAAGAACAAAGGGTAACCTAATATATGGAATCATTTTGATGAAATGAAAACTGGGAAATGTGCAGTTCAGAAACAGGGTGATGTGCCTCTTTGCAAGGGAGAAAGCAGCTTTAAAAAGAAACCAATAGCAAGTGAAATTTCACAGGAAGGTTTGTGCAAGGCCAAGTGCTGTCCTCACATCTCCATTCATGTACACAGATGCAGTTTTGTAAAAAGAAAGATAAAACGTGACTAATGTTCTGAAACAGAAAATATGTTCAGCTCTTCTACTGGGAGCCTTGATTCAGGAAAGCATTGTTCAATGACATCAGCATGATGGGACTTAGCAAACGATATTACATTCCCATGTGATGGAAATAAGCATAAGCTTATTTTAGACTTGTGCTGCACAAGAAACAGAAAGAGAACAAGGAAAGGATGCAATGAAGGAACATGTTAATCATGATCTAACCATTTTTTGTTACAACTGCTTTGGTGCGTAACTCTTTGTTTACGACCAGGCTTTTATCTCACACACCTTCTAGTCTCCAGATCTCACTGAACCATTACAAGCTATTCAAGAGACAGTGCTTTCTTAAACACTGCAGGTCTATATTTCACACAAGGAACACAAGATTTTATCGCTAGCTTTTGCTACACCGTAAATCTTCTGCATGGAAGGAACCAATGGTTAAAATCAAATTATTTGTTAAGCCCAGACAATTGAACCACCATACTTTAAGGGAAGCGCTGTTTTTCATTTTGTGACACTGCTAAGCATGCCAACTTCTCTTCATATGCAGCTTGGCTAGTTATTTCTACTGCATACTTTTAATAGGAAAAAAAAATCCCAGAAAACAAACATGTATGTAATTCAGTTTTTGGAAATTATATGCACATTGTAACTATGCAACAGTGTCACAAGAGAAAATGGCAAATTCCCTCTGCCAATTGCTTGACTAAGTTTATCCTTCCACCACAAGTTCCATCTGTGACATTTCCTCTCCCTGCTACCCAATCAAAACTCACACAAGTCTAACAGTCCATCTGTACAGGAGTAGGGCACCAAAACCAAGAAGCAATGGTTATAGTAATGTTGCATCAAATAGGGGATTTACCAAAAGTAAAGCTAACGTGCCACTCAAACGTGGCTGCTCATGGTCGTATCCCATTCATAGGATGTTTCCAAAGATATAGGAAGGAACACTGTCCAAAATATCCACATGACTATAGTAAAGAAGCAGGAACAAAGCAATTAAAACATACTAGAGGGTAATGGTAGTCTTAAGTTTACAATCGTAATCACAAGTTGTTACAAGTTACAGAAATTAATGATTAAAATTTAGTTACGTTAGCCAAATGGAACAAAATACGGTCATTCCCTCCATTTAAATCAATTTCTGTTAAATTCACAGAAAAAAACACTCAAAAAACACATAAGGTGGCATCTAAGCCCAGTAAATATGTCAAAATACAACATGATCTTATTACCACTGTGTTGGAGGTAAGTACAAGGGCTGAAATGCCCCAAGATGACAAAACACTGGGAAACTATCCTTAATTAAATACAATGTATGACAGCCCCCCAAAAAACTGAATATGATGCTCATATTGTTCTTTTTATTCATCAATACAACTGAAAATCTATTGTGTAAACATTTAATAATTCATGCTAGCAGAACTAGAAAACTCTAAAGATGTCAACACATACATGGAAACTGTGAAAAAATGTGATTTTAAAGAAAAATGACAAGAGGATCTTCACATAAAGATGATTTATTTGAGCCATGGTGGTATCCTTTTACAGATTTTATGAATTGCTCAGAAATGACAAGATGATCTTCACATAAAGATGATTTATTCGAGCCATGGTATCTTTTTACAGATTTTATGAATTGCTCAGAAAGAAGACTTATAACAATAATATGAAAAAAAAAGTGACAAGACTTTCTGTACAGCTATATGGCAAAAAAGCATATAGGGGACACAAAGAGAAACTGAAATGAAACTCAGTTCAATAATATATGTTGATTGCTTTGATTTGTTTGGTTTTTTTCTGTTTTTTCTGGAGGTTTTTTTTTGTATATAATGTTATATTGTACTATACTGAAAAAAAATCAAAAAATCTTTTAAAACAAATAGCTTGCAAGCACTAAAAATGCCCAGATGATAAGGAAATGCTTTCACTGACAAGTGGTTAATGGAATCCACTTCTGAACCAGTGAAGTTATCAATAATCTGGCCCAACATCTCCCACTTGCTACCTCATAAAAGGGACAATATAGGCCATAATGTTTACAATCCTCCATTTGTCTCTGATTGCAGGGACAGAAGCACTGCTCAAAATATGCGTTGAAGGTATGTTAAGGCCATAGTTTAAAAACGTAAACTGGTAAATGGTTTCTCCAGTGACATACGTGTAAAAGTGACCAAGTACCATAAAGTAATTTTCTTTTCTTGAAATGGAAGAACACTTAATGCTAAATCAGACAAACTTTACTTTTATTTAGATTTATACCCCACCCCTATAGACAAAGTCTACTCGGGGCGGCTTACAAAAAAATGATAAAATACAATAGAATAATATAATTATTAAAACTTAATAATACAAGCAACTAACTAGTAGATATATGCATTATCAAGATGGGAAATTAAAGAAATGAAACAGTTAAT